AGACGGTAACAACTGATTTATTCGGCGATACAGACTACATTACATATCAATGCTTGGTATTCTTACGCCACGCTGATAGCATACTGAAGCATATGCAAAATAAATGTATATTAAGCCCACAGTCAAAACAAAACAGTACAGATATCTTGAGACCAGATTCTAGCAGCTGAAGAAGAGGCGCTAGATGGCATCTGCGGAAGAAGTATCCTGTTGTCTTCATCTTGGCTGATGTTGACTAGTGTTCAAGGCCTCCAGCCCAACTTGTCAGTACATGCTAGGGACATTGGTGGTGGAGCATGTCAGTGACATTGGTGGTGGAGCATGCTAGGGACATTGGTGCTGGAGCACGTCAGTGACATTGGTGCTGGAGCATGTCAGTGACATTGGTGCTGGAGCATGTCAGTGACATTGGTGGTGGAGCATGTCAGTGACATTGGTGCTGGAGCACGTCAGTGACATTGGTGCTGGAGCACGTCAGTGACATTGGTGGTTGAGCATGTCAGTGACATTGGTGGTGGAGCATGTCAGTGACATTGGTGGTGGAGCACGTCAGTGACATTGGTGTTGGAGCACGTCAGTGACAATGGTGCTGGAGCACGTCAGTGACATTGGTGGTGGAGCACGTCAGTGACATTGGTGCTGGAGCACGTCAGTGACATTGGTGCTGGAGCACGTCAGTGACATTGGTGGTGGAGCACGTCAGTGACATTGGTGGTGGAGCACGTCAGTGATATTGGTGGTGGAGCATGTCAGTGACATTGGTGGTGGAGCATGTCAGTGACATTGGTGGTGGAGCATGTCAGTGACATTGGTGGTGGAGCATGTCAGTGACATTGGTGGTGGAGCACGTCAGTGACATTGGTGGTGGAGCATGTCAGTGATATTGGTGCTGGAGCATGTCAGTGATATTGATGCTGGAGCATGTCAGTGATATTGGTGCTGGAGCATGTCAGTGATATTGATGCTGGAGCATGTCAGTGATATTGGTGCTGGAGCATGTCAGTGATATTGATGCTGGAGAATGTCAGTGACATTGGTACTGGAGCATGTCAGTGACATTGGTGCTGGACCATATCAGTGATATTGGTGCTGGAGCACGTCAGTGACATTGGTGCTGGAGCATGCTAGGGACATTGGTGCTGGAGCATGTTAGTGATATTGGTGCTGGAGCATGTTAGTGATATTGGTGCTGGAGCATGTCAGTGATATTGATGCTGGAGCATGTCAGTGACATTGGTGCTGGAGCATGTCAGTGATATTGATGCTGGAGAATGTCAGTGACATTGGTGCTGGAGCATGTCAGTGACAATGGTGCTGGAGCATGTCAGTGATATTGGTGCTGGAGCATGTCAGTGACATTGGTGCTGGAGCATACTAGTGACATTGGTTGGTTGAATGTAATCAATCTGACTGCAAACATGATTTGCATTTTTGTTAACATTTCTCATAATTGTCATGTATAATGTTTCCTATTATTTATTGTACTTAGCAGTTTTTGAATTTTTATCAGCAAAGAGGGAGAATGTTATTTGGCAGTGTAATTTATTGTTACACAATGATTGTAACTGTATTGCATTGTTTCTGTTCAGATTCAGAAGAATTTCATTGCATTGTATTTGGACAGTAATTAGTTGTCAGGAATGTAGAACTGTATTGTACACAATGGTGAGGAAGTTATCATATTTAGATGCTCAAATAATCAGTAAACTTTCGGTTTTGTATGGATGGATGTCCAGCATTATAGAAAGATAGGGAATATTCTGTGATGTTCTAGTGACACTGGACTGTTCTGGCACTGTAAAGAAAGTGTTGGAAGCGGGGGCATCCCTGTTTCACCTCCCATTTCATCTGACATTACATCAAGACCAGCTTGTGTGTGAAGATCACATTTCACCCAGCCTTGGCCTATCTCAGAAGCTTGACAACTGTCTCCGCTGGCTAATATATATTATTATCACTGACTTTTGCTATCACCACTGTTTGTATTTGATACTAACAAATGCCATCATATTATATATTACCATGGAATATTGTCGGAGCAGTGCCATTGAGAGCACCTTTAGAATACAGTACCACAACTTCTCGTGAGGACGGTCTCTGCCATAGGTCACATGTCTCAAAGACAAGCATCCAGTTTTTGTGAGAATCCATCGGACGCGAACTCCCGACCTTCGAATTGTTAGCCCGACAGCTAACCGACTGAGCTACGTCCATACTGTGAAACAAAGTGCAAATTTACCTAGTCATGCCTGCGACGTTACGGAACTGAACGAAAAGGGGCAAATAGGTGACGGACCCTTACGAAGGTTACGGGTAGGCATGGTGTCTTGTGACTTTAGTCTATCGACACTATGAATGATTCCGATGCCATTTAGCACACTCGTCCCATTCCGTAATTTACAAGATACCGAGTGGCGAGGAATGATCCGATATGGCGTGAACTGAAAACAGCTCCAGGCGTCAGACATCAGACGTCGAACTCAGGAGTACGCATGAATGACATGGTATTGAATAATTCGTCGGGTGGATTTTGTGACAGAAAAGTGTGGTAGGGAACACTGTAAGGATGATGTGGATAATAGTAAGGAACGAGGGAGGCATGTGCATGGCTAGTGACAACACAACGGTGAGTTCGCTTTTGAATCGATACTGAAAAAATGTAGCCGGTGAAAGTGGCTTGTGTGAATGTTCCATGACAGTTTCCAGTAGCCAAAGTATTCGACACAAAACCATTTCAGTTTTTTACTCGATGTTTTTGTGTGAAGAATATTAGAAGCCACTATAGAATCTATAATAGAAACTAAACGGGTAGATTTACCGAACCCTAATGATTGTGAAGGGATGATTGATCGTAAAGGGGTTCCAAGGCCTAAGGACAGAATTCAGGTAATCAAACAGCCACTAAACGGGTACCTAACCCAAATGATCGAAAAGGGGTGATTGATCGTAAAGGGGATCCAAGGGCTAAGGATAGAGTTTGGGGTAACCTACCCTAACACTAGCGATATTTGGATGTGTTCAGCGTCAATATAATATCCCTAATAAACTACATTCTTGTTCATAATAATGAAAAATCATGCACCGAAAAAATAAGATATGTATATTAGTTCCCATTTTTAACCCTTTTAGCCACTTGAATTATGAGAAAAACGAAATAAAAGATATATAAAAACTAAAAGTGCTTTCTTAAACTAGCGCTTGCTACAAAATGCGCCGCCGCAGGCTATATTCAGTAAACAAATATTCAAAACTCTCCACAGCGCTTGGCGTATTCAATGACATTTCGTGTAGAGATGATAGATCACTGGCAGGAGCTTATGCACACTCGATGACCCCTCACGACACAGGGCATTGTTTCGCGGGTGTGAACGGTAACAAAATACTACAAATTATGTCACAGGGTATTGTTACGTGTTTGAAAAGTTTGTGGTACTGTATTCTAAAGGTAGGCTGTGCCATTGTAATTGCTGTGCAGTAATTTATCTTGATTTGTAAACCTAGTTAATTGTGTGATACACATGTTGACTGTATACCATTTGTTGGTTGTTTTTACACACAAATTTCTTGGTCAACCTATTGTTTCAGATTGGGAAACAACATGAAACAGCATGAGGTCATTTCTTTCTGACAGTGCAGAGTTTCCTTGTGTTGAAGATTCAGTCAGTGAGGGAAGCATATCAGCTGCTGGTATTCGAGTCTTTAGATCATTTTTCCAAGGACATTTTGTACTCAAGACAATTTGAAACATACAATACAGATAAAGCCAGACAAAGAATTAACACTTTTTGTAACCAGATAATAACAGGACTAATTTGCGTACATCAGTACGGATTTGTTGATATGCTATTTTCCATATTACGGTGAAGTCTTTGGGGGAAAACTCAAAACTCAGTGTCTGCATGTATAATCTGCACCCCGTCTAAGCAGCTGTATTTTCTTTTTACAAACATGAGCATAATACACAAACAAATATGGTATACATTTTTTATCTGAATGTGAATAATGTAGTTTATGAAGGTCATTATGAAGGCCAGAGTACAACGGATAGTTGGGTCGGGTCGGGTAGTAAGGAGTTCGGTACCTGGACTCGGCACAGCCTACCAGAGACACATCCTGCCCTTTCTTGCCACAGAATGGAGGACATTTACAGACAGTGTGTCGTGTCAAATGCTCAGCAGCAGTAAGAATCATGGGAGATCTCATGAAATGGAACATGGACATCTCCCATTCTCATTAAAATCAGATCTTAGTTCTTGCTACCACTAAACAAAAATCTGAGGACATCCCATTATGGGTCATGTCAGAACAACCTCTCATCTGACCAATCAGAGCATCACTTATCAGATCATGAAAGTGACAGTTGGAATGTGATCGTGTAACCTCACGAAATAAACATACCAGTTATTCCGAACGACAGTGATGGGTTTTAGGGCTGTATTCAAACAATCAAGACAATCTAGAATGTTCTTGTGTTCAGTTTTAAATTTTTGATAGAGGGTCAAAATATGTTTCGAAGCGGAGTTGCCAGTTTGAAACTCGTGCCATAAAACTCGATTAAGCTGCCATCTGATTGGCTAATATCGACTTCTTGTCAGTCATTCCATTGGTCATCAAAGTTCGCGAAAGGTCGGTGTGACGTGACACGTAATGGGATGTCCTCAGATCTTTGTGTTTAGCGGTAGCGAGAACTAAGATCTGATTTTAATGAGATTGGGACATCTCCGTAATACCTGGCGGTCATCGGTTAAAGTTTAATAACAAAGGCAATACATTGGGGTATATAATGATATTGATTGTAATAATACACGACTATGTTGCTGGATCTGTGCTTAACTCTTTTTGCTCAGAGTGCAAAAATTAAAAACATGCAGTCTTAAGTCAAAACACTCGAAGAGGGAAGTGAAATAGTGATGTAGTAGACTTCAGATCCATTGGCAGGGAATGCTGTAGATCAGCAGTTGCCATGGAGAGATGCAGGATGTGCAGATAATGTCACCTACTTTGTCCTGAGCATCCAGCTGAGTTCCTGCTTTGATCAGTGTCTCCATGATGTCAGCATGTCCCTTCATAGCTGCGTGATGCAGAGCAGTGTTGCCTCGCTGTAACACAACAGTTACTTCCCTTTACATGTGCACTGCCAACCTCCTCACAGCGATATCCCATTCGCGGTGGTCTCTATACTATACCACCAGTCACAGCTCCCCACTGCAATAGGTGGCCACAACCATGCTTAGAGCTAAACTTGCAACTATGTTTACAAACAAGTGATGACTGCCGTGATGCCAAAAACATCTTCCCCCAGCTAAATTATTTTCTTTGTTGATATAATTGGTATGGTAAAAATGTAAGGGGAAGTAATCTCTGTAATCTCGAACCAATCCGATCAAACAAATAAAAAGGTAAATATATCTTGGAAATATGGTCTGCCATAAACCTTTTCAAAATTAACTGTGATGGCATTCCCAAAGACATAAACAAAAGAATAAACATTACTTCATTTAGGGTTACAGGGCAAATTTCAAGATTCTTGTACTGGACACGCCCACACTGGTGGCAGCGATGTAACAGCAAGTGTAATGAAGGTGGGAAGGAGCCTGGCGCACTGCTTTACTGCACATCTGCTGTTATGGTCAAGGCGGCAATAGGAGTTTGTATGCTTGTTTATGTAGGGAGGCCCTTGGTACATAACTGTTTATTTGGTTACACACTAGTTTCAACAAGCAGAACAAAAAAAAAAGACACCGTCAGCCTGCACTATATTTTAAAAAGTCATTGCCTGAGAACAAATACGTTCACTTTTTTAAGCCTGACATTTTCTCATTATTCAAAATTACAGTAACAAATATAACTACATCTTCTTTAAGATATTTTTCTCTCCAAATCTGCAATACATTTGGCAATATATATCGTATGTTATCATCCAAAACTGGCTCCCACTGGAGATATTGCTTGGGTGAGATCAAGCGATATCAACATTGTAGATATGGTTGCAATGAAATTGCATCACAATGCTTTGCAGACCATTGTAACGTAACTAGTTACCATGACGTCACAATTAAATGACATCACTAATGGCTCTGTTAATGAAACTGTTAGCAGCACTTTTTACACTTAAGACACTGTTTACTACTGTCTACAAACTGAAAAAGTTGGAAGAATAATGTTTGATGATAAATAACATCTCACCCTCGTGTCATTTGATATCAAATATATCAACACATGATGGAATATTTGATATCAAAAGAAACTCGGGTGAGATTCTCTATTTACGAACAGCCTAGTAACCATGGTAATGCCTTGTAATAAAAATGCCAGAGAGACCAAGTTGTCAGTAATTTCTTCAAATATAATATTCCAAAAACATGTCTTACTAAAAAATCAAAGATCCCATGTAACTTCAGTGCCTTTCATTTGTATCTTATTTCTGAACCTTTTCAGGTTTGCTATTCCGTATACAGTAAATTGAAACAACATGATGACCAGAGAGATCTATCAAAATATACCACAACACAAGCCTTCCATGGTCAGAGATCATCCACAACTCTTAACACTGTACTGGTAAAATTTATATTAATATCATGAAAAACACCATCTAGCCTGCGACCTCGGGGTATCGCAGTACTTGTCATGTACGCTAAACAGAAAACAAAATGCACTCACTAATCTTTATGATTATTCGTGTTCTCTATATCGGATATCATTTATTTTATCAAACAATGCATATGTTACTGATAAAAGTTCATTATTTACATTAGTAGCTCCGAGTAAAAGCCGGGCCTCGCGCTCTGTTTGACAAGGGAGAGAACCCCCTCGTATCGCGGTACAGGGAAAAGTTGTGTAGAGGTTCGAATTGGACAAAAAGAGGACATAATTCTACCAACCACTTGGTATGATCATGCCAGACATCAGTGATTTGTCCTGACAAGTGCAAAGCAGCACAAGTAAAATTCTAAATGTGTTATCAGTAATAGGTATTCAATGCATATTTACCGAAAAGTAAGAGAAATATATTTTTATAAGTCAACAACAAAATATCAGAAATGATATTCTAAGTTTGTTTATAAAAAAAATTGGATGACAATAATTTGTCACAAAATGGAAAAATGTTAAAAGACAACAATAAAAATATAAAAAGCACTCCTAGTATGCCCAAAGTATGTATATTTATCTTTTGGCTACTAGTGAAGAAAGTATTTCTAAGTTTGGCATTATGGCCCTTATGAACTCCCAATAGATTCTGGGCACAGAAAAATGTGCCTACTACGTTACTTCCATTACCTTATCAGTCGCCATGAATATGCAGATGATCTAGTTCAGGTCGATAGAGAAAGTTTACTTGGGGAACTGCAGGTTATATCGTTGGCCATTGATAGATGGGGGTAAGGCAATATTAAAAATGATGCCAGAAGTTTGTATTAATGCATTAATAACTCCTTACTTACAGCAGACGGAACATTCCGAGGAAATTGAAATTGTTTACGAAGTGAGCACTTCCTTGTTACTGATTTGTATTAATAGACAGCTGCTAAGAGGCGTGTCCCACGTGAACTACTGGAAATCACAAATGCCACGATACGATGAATGCCGCGGAACAACGGGGTCCGAGTATAAATGATATTGTTATCCATTTTGTGTGAGCTGACTAAAGTAAGAAAAAAAAAACAGAACAAAAATATTAATCATGGTGCTCTTCTGCTACTGTTGGTGTGTAATCTTAACTACATAAGTAGCGCATTAAGGGCATAAAAGGAGTCAACATCAAAATATGCATATATTCTTGTTCTCAAACAATAAAATCTTTAAAATCTATTACATATACCTCTCACCACCTGTCATAACTTACAATATCTGTAACGATTTACATCTCACATGTTATAACTTACAATATGTTTCATTGACGTTTTACATGTTATAACTTACAATATCTGTTACATTGACCTCTCACATGTTATAACTTACAATGTCTGTTATATTGACCTCTGGCCAGGCGTTTTATATTTTTCAGATTATGGACCCGCTGACTCTAATTTTTGAGAAAATGTTAAAAAAATATATCAGATTTCCGTTTTTTTCCCCCCGCCGATAGTGGCGTAGTCAGTTATTTTATTTGTGATCATCACCTATTAATAAAAAACATATGAATTTACCGTTGTGAACTAGTAAAGAGTTACATAATCGATCTTTGTTGATCTCAAAGCCATGAATAACCTCCCTTGACAATTGGAAGTGTTGGAAGTGGTAGAATTTTTATTGTTACAAGGGGCTTTGTCGTCACAAATGGCGGTCTTTTGTGCACAGAATATGTTCATATAGTATGCCAGAGGCTGCATTAAAAAAAATGCATCTGGCTTTATTTTTTCCCTCCTCCAACCCTGGACTTTGGGCAGAAAAATCCGTAATCCTAAAAAAAAAAGAAGCCTGGCCTCTCACATGTTATAGCTAACAATACCTGTAAAATTGACCTCTCACATGTTATAACTTACAATATATATGTTACATGTATCTCTCACATGTCATAACTTACAATACTTGTTACATGTACCTCTCACATGTTATAACTTAAAATATATGTTATATGTACCTCTCACATGTTATAACTTAAAATATATGTTACATGTACCTCTCACATGTTATAACTTATAATACTTATTACATGTACCTCTCACATGTCATAACTTACAATGCATGTTACATGTACCTCTCACATGTTTTAACTTAAAATATATGTTACATGTACCTCTCACATGTTATAACTTAAAATATATGTTACATGTACCTCTCACATGTCATAACTTACAATGCCTGTTACATGTACCTCTCACATGTCATAACTTAAAATATATGTTACATGTATCTCTCACATGTCATAACTTACAATGCCTGTTACATCTACCTCTCACATGTCATAACTTACAATACTTGTTACATGTACCTCTCACATGTTATAACTTACAATACTTGTTACATGTACCTCTCACATGTCATAACTTACAATACTTGTTACATGTACCTCTCACATGTCATAACTTACAATACTTGTTACATGTACCTCTCACATGTCATAACTTACAATGCCTGTTACATGTATCTCTCACATGTTATAACTTAAAATACTTGTTACATGTACCTCTCACATGTTATAACTTACAATGCATGTTACATGTACCTCTCACATGTCATAACTTACAATGCATGTTACATGTACCTCTCACATGTTATAACTTAAAATATATGTTACATGTACCTCTCACATGTTATAACTTAAAAATATATGTTATATGTACCTCTCACATGTTATAACTTACAACCCCTGTTACATGTACCTCTCACATGTTATAACTTAAAATATATGTTACATGTACCTCTCACATGTCATAACTATCAATGCCTGTTACATGTACCTCTCACATGTTATAACTTAAAATATATGTTACATGTACCTCTCACATGTTATAACTTAAAATATATGTTATATGTACCTCTCACATGTTATAACTTACAATGCCTGTTACATGTACCTCTCACATCTTATAACTTAAAATATATGTTACATGTACCTCTCACATGTCATAACTTACAATGCCTGTTACATGTACCTCTCACATGTCATAACTTAAAATATATGTTACATGTATCTCTCACATGTCATAACTATCAATGCCTGTTACATGTACCTCTCACATGTTATAACTTACAATGCCTGTTACATGTACCTCTCACATATTATAACTTAAAATATATGTTACATGTACCTCTCACATGTCATAACTTACAATGCCTGTTACATGTACCTCTCACATGTCATAACTTACAATACTTGTAACATGTACCTCTCACATGTTATAACTTAAAATATATGTTACGTGTACCTCTCACATGTCATAACTTACAATGCCTGTTGCATGTATCTCTCACATGTTATAACTTAAAATACTTGTTACATGTACCTCTCACATGTCATAATTTACAATGCCTGTTACATCTACCTCTCACATGTCATAACTTACAATACTTGTTACATGTACCTCTCACACGTTATAACTTAAAATATATGTTACATGTACCTCTCACATGTCATAACTTACAATGCCTGCTACAT